TCGATGTGAATACATCAATTTTCAGTCAAGCAATTAATACACGAATTAATAAAATATTAATATTTTATTTACTGACAACAATAAACGTGAATAAATGAGTAAAGGAATGAATAAAAGTAAGCATCACAATAAATACATAGAGCAGAAGGCTGCTGGTTCAAAACCTCCTTGAGCGATCCAGGTCGTTCCAGGGGATTGTAGGTCCCTGTAATAAGAGCACTGTAAATCACTTTGGATAAAAGCGTCATGACATTTTCTGATGATGCTTTTGAAGCTTCTGAAAGTAAGCCTTCATTGTATGAACAGAAACCAGCAGAACAAACTTGAACAAACTCACATCCTCAGTGTCTTTTGGTGTTTTGCTCCAGCTGGCTCTGGGTTCACTGAGGATGAAGAGACCACAGCAACATCTGGCCCAGATGAGGCAGTAAGAGGTGGAGTGATGGAGCGTCTCATCCTGGTCACTGGACCATTTTCAGGATGCTGCTGTGAGCTTCCCGTCCTCACTGCTCACACCAGTCTGCAGACATTTGTGTTGTAAAGAAAGCCACGCGTGACTCTTCAAGTGTGCTTCAGGTCAGGAGGGCGTTGTTTGTTGTGACAGCTGCAGGGAGCAGCTCTTCTGACCTGTTTCTTACCTGCTGAGATGGATCGGAGACAGAGGCATGCGGCTCTCTCTTTCCTCAGCAACATCTCGCTGGATGGAAAAGCAGCGGAGGCGAACGGGGCTCAATGTCAAACTGAGGATGGCGTCAGATTCACGCTTTCAGCATCTGCTCCAGTCATTCGAGCACAAAGAGCTTCAGGAGAACAGCAGCCCAGTAAAGAGGAGTGTGGAGGTCAGACGGGCAGCGAGATCAAAACATCTCTTCTGGACAGTGAATCCAAAGTGAACACCTCTAGAGAGATTCAGAGGTCTAGCATTTTTTTATTATTATTATTTCATTTAAATACTCCCAAATAAATTAAAAAAATTTGATTTTGTAAAAAAAAAAGAAAAAGTGTGTGTGTGTGTGTGTATATATCCAATGACCATTGTTCAATACAAACATATTTTTTTCTGCAATCACACATTATGGGCATAGTGAAAAGCACATTTATATTCATATACATATATATATATAAAAAATTTTTTTTTACTGTTTTCTTACAGTAAGTCTTGCACAAGTGTCGTATGGCCCAGGAGCAGCAGACGGGTTCATTTCATCAAAAACATGAGACAACACGATACCCGCAATGGAAGGTACTGCAATGAAAACATGAACAAACTAATTATGACAAATATCTATGAACCAATAATAGGGTAACACTTCACAGTAAGGTCCTATCAGGGTTATTATAGTTAAATAAAATTAAAACTATACCATTCAAAACATTTTGTTAATTGAAACAATATTAATTTATTGTAAATTAACTTGATGTTCTAAAATAACTAAAACTAAACCTGAAATAAAAATGGATAAAAACTATTAAAAAAAATAAAAAAGACTAAAATGTTAAAAATTAAAATGAAAATGGAAAATATAAAAATAAAAAGTAATTCAAACTATTAATAAAATCTACAATAGTATCATAATGATACTAAAACAACCTATTAGTTAACATTGGTTAATGCAACCTAAGTAACAATGAGCAATACATTTATGGTATTTATTAATATTTGTTTACTTAATAAAATACAATAGTTCATAGTTCATGTTAGCTCAGGTCCATGAAATAATGTCACAACTTTTCTATATATAAAAATATCTTTAAAATAAATAAATAAATAAATAAAAAACAACAAAATTAATCAAATATAATCTAATATTAAAATGACAGCTGAAATAATTGTTAAATATGATCTAAAGCAACAATCGTTTGAATATAATTGTACTTCTGCGGTATTTCTTTCTTTCTGCGTCACTGGACTGAAAACACAGATCAAGGATCAAGTGGCTCTTCTGAGGAGAACAGCACATGTTTATGACAGCGTTTCTACACAAAAACTCTAGATAAAATCTTGATAAACTAATTTAGATATAAATGTGTTCAATTAAAAGGGAGGAAAAAATATAGATTAAAGATCTGAAGTTTAAATGCTAATGAAAGAGAAAATGCATTTTACACTCATGAAATGTCTTAACAAGAAGCAAATAAACTGTCTAATGTTTATGTTCCTGTAGGATAGTTTTGATCAGAGCCAGAAGAGCTGTATACGGGATGTTTTCTGTCCTGCCCTATCGAGACTTCAGCCAGATCAAGTGAGTCCTGCTCTGTTTACATCAGATTTTGAATCTAGATAATCTCACACTCGTCTGTTGTCTACAGCGATCAAAGGTTAGACTGCGGCCATCAGAACAACATCAGTGGAGCGACTCAAGACGCAGTGATGCTGATTGATGCTGTTGAACCTGGAGCCAAGGGTAAGGTGAGGTCCACTTGAGATTAAAATGACTTATTTGATCAGTGTAATATTGAGGTTTCATAACTAATATTTTGTTTCCCAACTTTCAGACAGTGTCGTACACAAAACTTCTGTCTCACACTAATGCCTTAAGCAGCAGCAGCAGCGGCGGCTCTGACGTCTTCGCACTGCATTCTGGGTCACAGTGTGTTTTGAGTCCAGCATGTGTCCTCACTCAGACTGGCATAAAGAGAGGTCAGTGAGGAAGAGCATGTTCACATGTCAAATTTACCTTGCTGTCTTGTGTATTTTATTTTAATAAATAAATAAATATTTAATGTTTTTGAGTGACATATCAATTTAGAATGAAAAGAATGTACTTTTTTTAGAAAAATTGTAAAAAAAAAGTTTGACAATTGTAAATTGTAAAATTAATAGATTTATAAGTAAACTAAGCTACGCATCAATTTAATATGAATATAATTTTACTTTTTTTTCCCTGAAAATGTTTTTTTTTCTTTTAATTTCCAGAATTCCCTGGAATTCATTTATTTATTCATTCATGTTTTTGAGTGTCAATTAAAAGCAGTTCATAAATTAAAAATTAATATATTTAAATAAAATTAAAATGTACATCAATTTAGGATGAAAAGAATTTAGATTTTTCATGAATTTTTCTTTTTTTTCTGTCCAAGAATTTTTTATCTTTTTTTATGTATTTCCAGAATTCCCTTCATTCATTCATTAATTTGTTCGTTCATTTGTTCATTCATTCACTCATTTTTTAAAATTAAGCTGCATGTTTACTTAAGATTAAAAAATGTACCTTTTTTCTGAAAATTGTTCTTTTTTTAAATAATTAATATTAATATTTTTTTACATGCAGGATTCAAAGGGAAAACATTGATGATTATGACCCGAATCTTCTGGATGATCCACAGTGGCCTTGTGGGAAACACAAACGAGTGCTTGTCTTTCCATCTTATACGGTGAGAGCAATCAGTCGATGCATATGAAGTTTGTCATACAAGAACATTTTTGTTCATGTTATTACTGTAACGTTTTATGACAGTCTCACACCTGCCTTAAAAAATATACTAATGCTGCTTATGGAGGAAAAACTTCATCATTGTAATAAAAAAAAAATAAAAACTCTCTTTTTGTATGGATGAAGTGCAGCATTTGAAACATGAAGTGCAGCATTTTTTTCCTAGTGTGTGTGTGTTGATTTTTTCAGACAACGGTCATTGAAGCTTATGGAGGAAAAACTTCATCATTGTACTAAAAAAATTTAAAAAACTCTCTTTTTGTATGGATGAAGTGCAGCATTTGAAACATGAAGTGCAGCATTTTTTTTCCTAGAGATGTGTGTTGATTTTTTCAGACAACGGTCATTGAATACGTGAAGCCGTCCGACCTGAAGAAAGACATGAATGAAACATTCAGCGAAAAGTTTCCACATCTTCAACTGACCCTCAGCAAAATCAGAAGGTACCGGCTTCCTATCACCCAACTTGAAAATATGAATATCTCGAAGCAATGCAATTGTATGTATTATTTTATTGTATTGTGACATTCTCAGTCTGAAAAGAGAGATTCGGAAATTGGCCCAGGAGGATTGTGGGTATGAGGAGCCGACGATTGCAATGGCTTATGTCTATTTTGAAAAGCTCGCCCTGCACGGTAAACTGGACAAGCAGAATCGGAAACTTTGCGCCGGAGCTTGTATCCTTCTCGCTGCCAAAATAAGCAATGACCTCAAGAGGCCAGAGGTCAAACACCTCATAGATGTACGTAAAGCTCTGCGACATCAATATCTGTTCCCTGATTTCTAATTCAATAAATGATTCATTCAGTTCTCACATTAGAGACTGGAGGAGCGACTGCGGCTGAATCGCAGGGAACTTTTATCACTGGAGTTTCCTGCGCTGGTGGCGCTCGAGTTTAAACTGCATCTGCCACAGCGTGAGATCTTACCGCACTACAGACGCCTCTGTCAGACCACCTAAAACCAGACCAGATCCTCAAAACCCACCCTACTGCTGTTCAGTGTTTAGATGCACTGCTTGTTTCATAAGCTACACACTAAGATTTAATAAAGATATCTAATATTGCTTCTGTGTTTTATGATTTCATTTTATTTTCCGGCAGAAAAAATGAGAAAAAAACAGAGATGGTCAATGAAAATCTTTCATTTAGTATTGCAAAAACTGATTCAAAGAAAAGTTATTTCATAACTGAATACACGGGTCAATTTCATAATAGAAGCTTTAGAAATACAATATCATAAAACGTGGCTCCAAAATACAGTAAATGTGACCCTGGACAACAAAACCAGTCGTAAGGGTCAATTTATTTGGCCGAGATACAACTATTTGAAAATCTGGAATCTGAGGGTGCAAAAAAATCTAAATATTGAGAAAATCGCCTTTAAAGTTGTTTAAATGATGTTCTTAGCAATGCATATTACTAATCAAAAATTAAGTTTTAATATATTTACAGTAGGAAATTTACAAAATATCTTCATGGAACATGATCTTTACTTAATATCCTAATGATTTTTGGCATAAAAGAAAAATCGATAATTTTGACCCATACAATGTTTTTTTGGCTATTAATACAAATATACCCCAGCGGCTTAAGACTGGTTTTGTGCTCCAGGGTCACAAATGTCAATCGGCTCAAACAGAATAATCACAGTACTTTTTGCAGGACTCAATTTTGGGAGTTATTTCTATATTTGAAAAACCCAGATACCCTAAAAAAATATAACCGTCAACCAACCTGCAATAATTATGAATAATGTTAAACATGGGCAACATACATCTCATGCCATTATGTAAAAATATGTTTTAAAACCTACATGAGAGTTACAGAGGGCTTATGTACCAATGTTATCTTACCGATTCTCATACAGAGATGTAAGGTGTGACAGTATTCAGGATATGATCCAGGACTCTCAAAAGTAAACTGCTGGACAATGATGTGCAAAAGGTCGAACACTAACAGCAATTACAAATATTGCTGGTGAAAAATGCGTAATAAGTGCAAAACAGAAAATCTGTTACTATACAATACTGACTACAATAAACTGGCCATATTAAAATGTAGGGCTAAAAGAATTACGGTAAATGGTAAACACATGAAAAGAGTTTTGGGTGTAGCAAGGTGAAAATAATCTCATTGAGGCAATTGGCTTTGGTCAATTTATAAAGCCCCTATAAAGAGTTGGAGTGACTTATTTGGAAAATCTTCAAAGGCACTGGCCATATTCTTCAACACACTTATTGAAATCTGTCTGAATACACAAACAAGGCCTCCCCAGCATAGTTCAGGATGATGCTAATGAGAGAAACAAAAACAATATAACATTAATTTCATTATTCACTTCATACTGCAAGTAAATAGATAGCTTAAACTCAATATCTTAACATAAAACTGTTCTCACCAGCACAGAGTCACGGGGCTGAGCACAGAGTTGAATGCGGAAAGTGAAAGGGAAAGACCTGACGCCAGTATCTGCATGCAAGGAGAAAAGAAAACCATTGCACCATTTACATTAAAATTTTTGTGCTGCAATGCGTGCGATGTGAAACCAGCCTTTTGCTCGAACAGTACTGACTGGACACAAATAAATGGAGACACTCAACAAAGGATAATTGTGGTTCAAAATATAATTTTCAGAGGTCTGTCTCACCTTAGCCAGGAAGAACCAGATGCCACAGTGCTCCTGAGACAGACTGCCCTTCAATTTCACGGTTGCCAACATCAGACAAAAGCTGAATATAGCGCTATGAAATGAAATTGATTTCTAATGAGCTTAAGATTTGCACACACAATCAATTTCTTTCAACAAAATAGCAATGCATCACTTATTCTGGGCTTTTTGCAGTTGTAAAAAGTATTGGATATTTGCAGTATTGTAAATATCCAACAAATCATGCTAACTTTCATGCATTAGCACATTTATGATTCCCACTGAATGTTTGTCTCACCTGCCCAAGCAGCCAGTATGGAACCTGTATGAAGTCAGCAGAGGGAAATCTAAGGCACCGGACAGATCACCTGAAAGACAAAACATCAAGAAGTACACATGAATCATGTCAGAAAATTACAGAGCAGTAGACAAAAATAATATAATAGTATAAAATGCATTTTATTACCTGTCGAGTATGCAAGAGAGGCAAGTAACAATGCGCTAAAAAAGAAGTATAAAATTAGATGGAGTTGAAAAAATGACTACATATAGTATATACTATATGTAGTATACATATATACTACATATGCATTCAAAATTCATTTGTGTCAAAATCTGAGGTCGCATTTAAAGGATGACTTTAAAGGGTTAGTTCACCCAAAAATGAAAATTCTGTCATTAATTACTCACCCTTGTGTTGTTCCAAACCCGTAAGACCTTCGTTCATCTTCGGAACACAATTTAAGATATTTTTGATGAAATCTGAGGGCTCTCTGACCCTCCCATAGACAGCAAGGTAACTACCACGTTCAAGGTCCAGAAAAGTACCAAGATGATCGACAAAGTAGTCCGTGTGACATCAGTGGTTCAACTGTAAAGTTACGAAGCTACGAGAATACTTTTTTGTGCAAAGAAAACAAAAATAATGACTTTATTCCACATTTTCGTCTCTACTGCGTCACTTGTGGACGCGCATTCACGACAGTATCATGACGCGAGTGTGTGGCAGCTACAGTTGAACCACTGATGTCACACGGACTACTTTGTCGATCATCTTGGTACTTTTCTGGACCTTGAACGTGGTAGTTACCTTGCTGTCTATGGGAGGGTCAGAGAGCCCTCAGATTTCATCAAAAATATCTTAAATTGTGTTCCGAAGATGAACGAAGGTCTTACGGGTTTGGAACAACACAAGGGTGAGTAATTAATGACAGAATTTTCATTTTTGGGTGAACTAACCCTTTAATTTTCAGATTGATCTATTTACCTGGTCATGTAATTGATGAACTGCTCTTCAAGATCACTATAACATTACACATTAAAAACGGCACTTATTATGCATCTACTTAGATTTTAAAAAATAACAATATACAACATACACAACCATTCTAAAAGTTTAGGGTCAGTACGTTTTTTTTTTTTTAAGAAATGAATACTTCTATTCAGTAAGAATGCATTAAATTGATCAAAAGTGACATTAAAAGACTTTTCTACTAAGTTTAAAAATGTCCCAATTTCCACAGAAACAAACATTGATAATAATAAGAAATGTTTCTTGAGCAGCAAATCAGCATATTAGAATGATTTCTGAAGGATCATGTGAAATTCAGCTTTTCATCACAAAAATGAATTATATTTTACAAAAGAAATCAGTTATGTGAAATTTTTTGATCAAATAAATGCAGCCTTAGTGAGCAGAAGAGACTTCTTTGAAAAACTTTTAAAAATATTACTGACCCCAAACTTTTGAACGATAATGTAAATAAAACATGAAAGCACCTCAGAAGGTTTGTCTTTGTGTTCTTCTGGAATACTTTATATGCACCTAAATTAGAGAAGAGATGAGAATAAAAACACACACAGGTAAAATGCACACTTTCATGTGACCAAATCTTAAGTACATCTCTGTAGGTTTCAGATCGTTACTCACAATTCTGAGTCCCACAACAAATAAATTCACACTCACCAACACAGAACAGATGGATGGACGCCCATGTGTAGCCACTGGGACCAAACTGAGAGGTGAGACATATAGAACCATAAAGAGGACATATGAAATGGAGATTTTTACTGTCACAGGAAACAGAGATATTGATAAAACACAGAAAATCCCGGTGAGAGTGAACTTACCCGTGGATTGTATAGCATAAGGCTGCTGGCAGATCCCAACAACATACACACACTATAAAGAAAATCATTTCAACAACAAAAAAGATTCTTCTTCAGTATTTTTCTCTTGCTTTCTAGTACAAAGCAAAATTACTTAAAGGAGTCATATGATGCTGCTAAAAAGAACATTATTTTTTGTATTTGGTGTAATGAAATGCGTTTATGCGGTTTAAAGTAAAAAAAACACATTATTTTCCACATACTGTACATTATTGTTTCTCCTCTATATAGTTTACACAAGCGCCGGAAGAAGTGATCTCTCACGCGTGTACGTCACTCATTGTTTACACAGTGCACAAACATTGTAGGCGCGTACACACCTCACGCACCAGATGCTGTGCGCGCGCCCAAAGACAGTTGGACATAGTGGTGTATTAGAGGTAAAAAATTATATAAATACTTTCTGGCACAAACCGATCGTTTCGTGTCTTAGGACAGCAATGTGTCGTCACGAGCCGCAGGGTTTAATTTGGATTTGTATGTGCATGTTTTTTTTTAGTCTCATAGATTTTGTTACCACTGCCATGCATTATACGATTGATAGACTGCAACAGTTGGAGTTAAAAATCATCATATGTGTTCTACTGAAGAAACAAAGTCACCTACATCTTGGATGCCCTGGGGGTAAGCAGATAAACATCACATTTTCATTTTTGGGTGAACTATCCCTTTAAGTTATTACGTTTTGTTTTCTGAAAAAATTTATCAAAATGAAGTGTTTATGCTTAAAACAAGAATAAATATTAGCCAGTTGGGTAAGAAAAAGAAACTACATTTTTAGTTAATAACTTAAATTTTTCTTACCACCTTGTTGGACTTTTTTCCTGTTTTAAGTTTTCAGAAAACAATACGTATTACTCCAATACTTATTACTCCTCAAGTAACTGTATCTTGATTTAAGAATGTTTAGATATTTTTACTGGAAAACAAGGTAAAAAAATAATAATTTTACAGTATTGGTATTAATTTAAGAGCATAAACAAGCTCTTTTTCAAGTCATGCTTGCTTGGGCTGCTTGGTTAAAACAAACATACCTTATTAATTTCATCCATGGTGGTTTCTAAATAAAGCAAATATAAAGAAAATTAAAATGGTAGCATGACGGGCATTGAGATATGATTATGATATCTGAAACAGTATGAGGATACTATAGAAACGAGCTGTTTTATGATTTCTAATCCTACTAAATACATAGAGAAAGGAAAAAAAACATGCAAAAAATAGATTTGTTTGTTTGTTCCCACAAAATAGCAACTGAAATCAGACTTACCTCTCTGTGAGTTGCTGTTCCGATGAGAAAAGCAAAGACTTCTGAGACATTTTGTAACACGAAGAAAAAAGGAATGGGCTAAAAAAAAAAGAGCAAAGACAAACATATTTCAACATAAGCACACACAAAGGTTGCATGTTCAGTCCCAACACAGGAAAGACACTGAAGTTCATATTTCAGCATATATTTTGTACTTACCAAAAGTGACAGTGCTTTGGACCCTGCATAAATGTTACCAATAAATAAGAAGGACCCAGGAAGCTGGGAAAAAGCTGCAGATCTAAATAACAAACACAGCAAGAGTACATATATTAATAAACAGATCATAATAAAATGTATAATCCACAAATACTAATCAATGTTTTATATAAATGCATATTTAGTTACCTGGAAAAGCCATTGATTTCAACCCAACCCAGTTTCCATGTAACCAGTAGCAAGAGAGCCCCAGTGGAGGTCTGCCAACTGAAGAAAGTCAATTAATGGTAAGCATAAATATTGAAATATCATGTAAATGAGGAACTGAACTCCAAACATAACCAAGTGATGAATACTTACCCCTGAAAAATGGTTGGAAATGTAAACTTTAAGATAGACAGGACATACTGTAAAGCAAAAAGCAATTCTACATTGTGTGTATTCTGGTACCTGTCAGCATTACTATCATTTAACAATCTAATACCCACAGCTAAACCACAAAATGTATTTTAGAAAATGCATTATTGTAAATGCAATACAAAAACAACAGGACAAACACACATTGATGCTGTCAAAAGTACAGTAGTTAGTTTACCTTATTTGTGAAGTAAGATGCTGTGAAAAAGGTGCAGAAAACTAGAGCAAGAATCACTCGAGCAACATTCATTGGATTGGATGCACCGGTAACTTTGGTCTCACAGCTCCTCTAACACTCTTCTTTATTAATGTTCTGACATCTCATCTGTACTTCCTCTGTTCTGTAGGCCACGCCCACCGTGACACGCAGCACATTTTTAGCCAATAAAAGCCTCAATGAAATCAGTTCTAAATGGTATAGTGAGCAACAAAAATTGAGATTACCCGAAAAAATATAATAATATTTTAGCACTTATAATATTATTTAGACTTATTTTATTCTTATTACTGATACCAAATAAAATACTTTTAACACGAATTAATTTTATGTTTATCTTTATTATTATATAAAGTATTATTTAGAATACTCAACCATTACAGGAATAAAAATGTAATAATGAAATATGCAAACAATTTTGATGAATTAGATAATTATATTCATAAAGTGATCGCTTTCTATCATGAAAGGAATATTTTTTTTAATGAATTGTTTCGAATGACAAAAATAGAAAATAAAAATCTCAATTTTTTTTTTTACTATTTATGTTTTCATAACATAGGAGAAAAAGAAGTGATAATAAGGAAGGCTTTGTTTTCGGAGATCCCATTATTTTATTATTATTGTTTTATATATATATATATATATATATATATATATATATATATATATATATATATATATATATATATATATACATATATACAGCAATTAATCTTTCACGTAGGGCCAGGTAGGTTTGGACAGATTTTTTCCCTTAATAAATGAAATCATCATTTAAAAACTGCATTTTGTATTTACTTGCCTTATCTTTGTGTAATATTTTAATTTGTTTGATGATCTGAAACATTAAAGTGTGACAAACATGCAAAAAAATAAGAAATCAGGAAGGGGGCCAACACTTTTTCACACCACTGTACATACTGTGGGTATAGAAAAGAATCACCCCCTTTAAAATATGAAATGAAGACGGACACAGTTTTGTTTTATCCAGCTGTATTTATTTAGTGCAACTTATAACATCCAAGTGAAAGATATAACACCAACATGTCAGGAAAAAATAAAAAAACAGAATCACTGAGTTGGAAAAGGATCACTCCCTTGTGTTGGTATTTTGCTTTAATTACAGCCATTAGTCTGTTGGGATATGTCTCTACTAACTTGTAGACAAAATTTTCATTTTTGGGTGGAAAATCCATTTAAGTTAAAATACTATTCATGGCACATGTGACGGGAATTTTATTCTGCTTGTCAGCTGCTGATGGTGTTATTTGTTGGAATGTGAGCCTAACTTCTGCTGATAGAGTGTATCAGTCATTCATGTCTGTGTGTTGTGTTATTTTTCCAGAGCCCATGGGGCGCTCCCGTCCTGGCATCAGCGCCCTGCTCTCTGGCTGATGTGATGAGTGAGCAGCTGGCCCGAGAGCTGCATGAGGAGGGCATTCCTTTCCCAGAAATCCCAGAGTGAGTCTCACACACATCTACATATCAAATTATTAACACTGTTACGAGTCTAGTAGCCCACTGTCTTGGATTACTTTTTTATATAGAAACAATAGTAATACATGATATAGTCACTTGGAATAAGCATTTTTAGTATTTATTGTCCATTTAATTGTTTTTTTACTCAAGCACTGTGTTTAACTTATCAACACATGCTTGTTTGACTACGAAATCATTCATCTGGCATTTAAACTCTAAGGCAGCAGAGGCACTCTGACAAAATGTTGTTTGAAGCAAGTTTGTCATCATTTCTGATGGTGAAAACATCTTTTGTATGCATTTACTTCCTATTATTTTCAGTACCGATCTGGACCTGACCTTTTGCATCATTGTGTGTGCAACTCGCTAAAGGCTTACAATTAGGGATGCACCGATACTGGTATCGGTATCGGGCCCGATACTGAGCTCCTGTACTCGTACTCGTACTCGTTAAAATGCCCCGATACCAAACGCCGATACCACACAGCATGTGATAAGCGCCATATTCAGACAAAGAAACACCGACAACAGACAGCAGAATGGAGTTAAGGATGTCTACTACGAAGTATATGTATGCAATGAATATAACGTTAAACATTCAGTATTAACGTCTGTATAGCTGATGTGCGTGAGCTGATAAACAAAGCACACTGAGTGGATTGAGCGCGCAGATGCGCGAGCTTGTCGAGTGAATATACCTTTCTCACAGACATCACTGGAAAGTTTGTAGTTTGGTCGGATATGTAAGTAAAACAATGCACAAGTTACTTAACGGTAGAGAGAGAGAGCGCGCGCGCACTTCTGTTGTGTGATCTTTGATGTTCACTCACTAAGCACACGCATCATTTGGATTAAAACCAAATCGTAAAAATAAGACCATTTATAGGGGCATTCACTATAAACATCATTTATTTTCAACCTTAGGCATACACGACTTTTTGGTGAAAGTGAAACTAACAGCCTGTGTGAAATGTGCTAGGCTGTACTTTACTACTGTCCTCTCATTCTGCACCAGTACAAATACATGCACGCGTTGAGCGTTTTGCTTGCTTGAGCGTTTCTGCATAATATGAGTGGCTTTGGAATATAAATCGCAGCATGTTTCAGATGAAAAAACGATACTCTTTTGGTTTCTGTACCCAATATTTAAAAAATGTACAAATGCAATAAAAATATTGGTATCGGTATCGGCAAGTACCAAAAATAAAAGTATCGGTATCGGGCAAGTACTGGAAAAAGTGGTATCGGTGCATCCCTACTTACAATTAATGCAAGCTTGCATTTATTATGCAGCTTTAATCTCAATGTGTCTCGTGTAGCTTTGAAGAGAAGATTGTTCCTGAAGAGTGTGTCCTCAAGGTATTCAAGACCACCCTGAATGAGTTTAAGAACCGGGACAAATATATCAAAGACGACTACCGCTTCAAAGACCGCTTCAGCAAGCTGAATCCTCGCAAAATTATCCGCTTGTGGGCTGAGAAGGAGATGCACAACCTCACCAGGTGTTAAACAGATTAATTTCAGTGTACAAGACAAATATTTGACATTTAAATATGACACATATGACTGTGATTAAATGACTTAGATACATAAAGATAACACTACAACATAATATTCTTTAATCTACTTTTTCATGCCATTTTTTCCCCTCTTGCACACATAAATGTACATGTAGGATGAAGAAAGCAGGGATCCCTTGTCCAGAGGTGGTGATTCTGAAGAAGCATATCCTAGTGATGTCATTCATTGGAAAGGACCACGTTCCTGCACCTAAACTAAAGGACGCTACTCTGAGTTCTGAGGATATGAAGAAAGCATACTACCAAGTGCTAAATGTGAGTGTACTGAAAAACTAGAATAATCACATGAGCTTTGCAATTAAAAGGGTATTATTTGGTAAAAAATATATTTTGCATACTTTAATTTGTGGAGATTGATATAAACAGAGACGTTACTGTGTCCAGATTTTTGTTACTTTATTACAGTGCTTAATTGTCATGAAAATAATGGTACTACTTCTGTGCAATATAATGTCTTATTTCTGTTAAAATTTTTGGGGTAAAATGTGACTTCTATTTATGATATTTGTTGTTGATATTCACCACTTAATCTCTGTCTCACAGATGATGCAGCAGCTATATCAAGACTGTAACCTGGTTCATGCAGATTTGAGTGAATACAACATGCTCTGGCATGACCGACAGGTTTGTTTTAAGCTAGTCCAAACATTCTTAGTAGCACATCTGTATAAATTCTGCAGAATTTACACTACCGTTTAAAACATAAAGTCTCTTCTGCTCACCAAGGCAGCATTAATTTGATCCAAAATATGGTAAAAACTGTTTTCTATTTGAATATCTTTTAAAAATGTAATTTATTGCTGTGTTCAAAGCTGAATTTTCAGCATCATTACTCCAGTCTTCAGTGTCACATGATCCTTCAGAAATCATTCTAATATGCTGATTTGCTGCTCAAGAAACATGATTATCAATGTTGAAAACAGTTGTGCTGCTTCATATTTTTGTGGATACTGTGATACATTTAACTTAAAAAAATTTTTGATGAATGAAACATTCAAAAGAACAGCATTAGATTTAAAATAGGAATGTAATAGCATTATAAATCTATTTACTGTCCCTTTTAATCAGTTTATTGCATCCTTACTGAATAAAGTAGTATTATAATATATGAAGTATTATTATTTTATTTATTTAGTCTTACTAACCTCATGTCACCTTAAGGTCAATTTTATTTATTTATTTTTTTCCTTGTGAAGGTGTGGTTCATTGATGTGAGTCAGTCCATAGAGCCCACTCACCCTCACGGGCTGGAGTTCTTGTTCAGAGACTGCAGGAATGTGGCCACAGTAAGTGTCCGAACCATCTTGTGGTATAATAAAGAGCTCTATAATAGCTCTAAAGCAAGGTTGTGATCATTAATGAATGCTATTTTCTTCTCTTCAGTTTTTCCAGAAAGCTGGTGTGGCCGAAGCTCTCAATGTATTTGAGCTGTTCAACACCGTGTCTGGACTGCAGATCAACAGCGATAATGAGGCTGATTTCTTAGCACAGGTCTGGAATTAAGATGTTTATTGCTTGCAATCTGCATTTGCAAAAAAAAAATATATATATATATACACATATATAGTACTGTGACTAATATGACTAATAAGAAAGGTTGTGTATATGTGGCTTAGGTGCATGTTGGTTTATTAAAGATCCAACTAATTTTTAAAGGGGTCATGAACTGCCTTTTTTATTATTTCTTACTGTTCTCTGAGGTCCACTTATAATGTTATCAAGATTTGTACATCAAAAAACATCATCATTTTGAAGTAATAGGCTATTTTCTGTCCTGTTTTCACTCTGTTTGAATAGGTGTGGTGGATTGTAGACTCAGAAGTAAACGCCCACTGCTCTGATTGGATAACAGCTGTGTATGTTTGACAGCTACATCCTTTAGATTAATCTAAATCACATCCTTGTGATTTAGATTAAAAACGCATAAATACTCGGCACATATCAAACGATCTGTAATAACAGACAAAGCAATAGTGATCACATAATAAAGTTACTCACACTTGTGTGGTGCGACATTACTGTCAGATCCAATATATTCGGCACAGCATCGTCTTTTAGTTTCGATCTTTCTAATAATCCTGCGTCGAATTGTGCCTTGTTTGTAAACGAATCTGCAGTAAAATGAACAATGGACCAAATTCTTACTGATGCGGTCTGGAACTTCAGTCTGGATCAGAAGGAAGGTGATGCAAAGACTGTTTTTCCACAGCTTGGCTCTGGACAGCGTCTTGTTGTCTTCGGAGCATCTTTGTCATTTAATTTCTGTGTAGACCTGCGTTTGCCTCGTTATTTACACTACATGCTTGAATCGGTGGGCGGGGCTAAACAGGCAGTGATGTAGAAGCAGGCGTTGATCTTCTTCTGCGGAGGCGGGGTTTAGCCACACTATTACATCATAAAGTGGCACATTCCACAACCTGTCGTTTTGGCAGATTGGCTTCAATATAAGCTGTTTTTAGAATAACGTTTTGAGTTCTAAAACTTACAAGTTGTTTTTATAGTACAATGACCTCTTAGATGTCAAAAGATCAAGGGAATTTTGATTTCTTAGTTCATGACCCCTTTAAAACTTCATTGTTAAAAAGCAATTGTGTTGTATATTTTTACAGATTGAAGCCCTGGAGAAAAGAAATGAAGATCATGTGCAGAAATCCGGCAAGAAAATCTTCACGGACACCAATGATGGCAGCCCACCCCAATTAAACACTGATGATGATTAACACAAGCACAATAGTCATTTGAAAAATGAAGGAGAGAAAATCCCTCCATTCACAAATAAGGTGTGGAATGGGACGAACGCCCATGTCCGTGTGAAATACGCATTTGCTCGGTGTTGAAAGTAACACGTGGTCATTTGAGACATCAAGCATAACCTGACGTTTTTAACAAGACAGTTTTGGATGATGGTTAAAAACAAAGAAAATATAACTATAGAGACACAGGCAATGTTTTACAATTGTGTGGTGTTAAAAATGTGTCTCCTTCCACAATAAGAGCAAGCAGAGAATGAAGATCTTCTGAGGATCTCTGAATGCTCTGAATTGGTGTGTGATTTGAGCTTCAGTAATGAGCAGAACTCAGGACACTGATCCGGTCTGTTCATCATACAAATGACAGCCTGGGGTTTTATGTGAAATCATTTTACTGCTAAGATGACTATTGTAGATTTGCAGTCTTTGAGATCTTTTGTAAAATCAAGTAAAGATCCAATTAAACTGATGAATAGCATGCTTTGAGTTCTTCTTTCTTGACAAACTTGTTCTTTAGCTGAGAACATATTGGCACTAAATACAGTTTAAAGGAGTAGTTCACCCAAAAAAGAGAATTTGCTGAAATTTTAGTCACCCTCAGGCCATCCAAGATGTAGAGGAGTTTGCTTTTTCATGCTTTTTAGCGTTACATCACTTGCTCACCAATGGATCCTCTGCAGTGAATGGGTGCCGTCAGAAACTTTTTTAGCACATTTTAATTTCGGGTGAACCATTCCTATAAAGCAACTGAATGTAGTTCTATGTATTTTTGAGACTTTAGAGCCCTCTACAGTTAAATGAGGGGAATTCACTGGAAATATATCACTGTCATCCTTAAAGCAATCTGTACCCACTTACTAAACTTCTGTTTTAGGGGAGCACAGGAAAGAAACCGAAGCCATTTGTCTTATTAGAAATCAGTGTATCATCACAATGTTTTTGAAACTGATATTTTAAAGAACTTACAGCTGCTTTAAAAACCTGACTTGAGAGAGTATGTCATACTAGACAGACCTAAGAAAAAGAAGTTTTAATCCTTATAATATATAGTAGTATATTTACTCTTATGTTTTCACAGAATAATTTGACCTTTGAGTTGAACAGAATATTTATTAGCATATGACATCTAATGGTGAAGTTGGAACTACAGGATCAGATTTATTTATTTAGTCATTTATCAGATGCTTTTATCCAAAGCGACTTACAAACGAGGACAATAGAAGCAATCAATTGTAGTATTAAAACAACTAAAAACAGATCCAAAACTAAAAGCTAAAACTTTATAAATACTACCTATACACATTTTAAAAATAAAGAGATTAAATAAAAATGACAAATGCATACAACTAAATTTCTAAACTTAACATTTAAGTGGAAAAACAAAAAATAAAGCTAAAAACAATTCAAAATATTAAAGAACAAAACGTATGAGTATAATAATGATTCTAACATAACACTAAGCCAAACACCAAAAAAAAAACTACATATGTGTATGTACAACCACACACACACACACACATATATATATATATATATATATATTTTTTTTTATTCAATATATATATATTATTTAATTTCCATTTAGTTTGTTGAAGTATTAAAATAACTCAAATTAAATAAAACTAAAAACTTAATAAAAGACCTATACAGACATAAAAAATTCAGACATAATTTAACTAAAATTAAAAAAATAAATACAAATAATACAAATCAAACGACAGTAGTTTATCAGTAATCCTAAAAAATAACACTGCCAAACACACATGCTAAAAAACAACAACTTACTTACACATAGTATGAAATGGTTATAAAAACTGAAACAGAAGTGAAACGAGTAATAGAAAAGAAGAGAAATAAAAAGCGATACTTTGATATATGACAGCAGAAAGTAATGAAATGTTATTAGACTGTTATTTTGGCCATAGTTTCTGCTTGACATTTTATCCATAAAAAGGTCAATTCAAAGATGCGCTAAAAAAAACTTGAACTAAAACTGAAAAAAAAAATTATAATAATAATAAAACCTATATAGACATAAAAAAATAAAAATGAGTAAACCTATAATAGTATCTCAATAATGCTAAAACAACACTGGTCACTTAGTCACATCTAAAATTGTCTTTGTACTTCATTATGAAATGATGATTTACAATTTTATACTTATTCAAATTTCTATCTTCATCGATCTAAATTGGCTGTATCTCGTGATGGAGAATCTGTCATTCCCAGAGCTGCAATTGGAGAACATGTAAACAAAAACCGAGCAGAACGTCAACAGAAAAGTTTTTTTGCTGATTCGTCCTTCTGTCAACATGAAATGTGCATCCTTCATGTCAGAAGTTTTAAAAACAATACATAGAAAAGTAGGTCTGATGCATCTGCATATAACCCTTAACCTTATTCTACACTATACAATATGTAGTGTATATACCCACTAAAAACTTTAGCATAAAATTTTGTCTTGGATGCATGAGATATATTTGATATATTTGCATATAAGCTGTTATGCCTCTAAGACTATTTCCAACAACAACAAAAAACAACAACTTTGAAACTTGCAAAACACTATATTTAGGGGCTTGTACAATTATACAAGTTGTTGAATAATTGTGTCTCATAATTCCATCAATTTCTACTTTCGTCCCCATTCCTCAAACATGTATGTATGCCTGAGAATGTGTACAGTAGATTATGTATCTGCATATGTGTGATATTTTCCCATGACAAAAAATTACTAGGACAGTGTGTTTGTGTGTAATCATATTACAACCCGTCTCATCTTCACCCTTTAAAACTGCATATTTCAGCTAATATCTTCTTTAATTACTCTGTTTATGCTATTATGCTTCCTAGAAATCGTGTGACTTTTACATTGTCTTACTCAAATAACAATTTCACTAATTAGATCTCTTTAACAGCTCAGTTGTTTCTCCCATAGACAAAACAGAGCATCCATATTCATTTTATAGCTCTGTACTCTTAATGTATTATTATTTGTCCAAAGAAATTTTAGAAGTAACATTTGAGACAAAGTTGATGATATGAAACATAACAGAATTCCATAATACTCCATAAGCTATAATATCTGAGCAATAATAACAACAAGGTAATTAATTTATTAATTTATTAATATTTAGCAATGCCTATATCCAGTTGTGAAGTAGGTGAATTACTCAAATTATTGACTAATGACTAATTTCACACCTGCTAGACACTTTATACCACTTTAGACACTTAAAGGCATTTAAATCTGGAGCACTAATTCCTTTCGAATGAAGCATTTTATATTTATAAGACATTGCATTGATTTGACAAATAACACACACATGCATAATATGTATATGCTGCTTCTTTGTGATATATGGTGACCTGAAATGCAAGAGGCATCTATAATATATATGCAAATCTGGCAAAATATGAGATTTACATCAAGCCAAAGAAACCAAAATAATCCCAAGCAGCCCGACAGGCTCTTCCACATTATATATGTCACACACCCATGAGCAGAGAAAACAGTTTCAGTTTTAAGTCTTAATGTCTGCAGAGTTTTAATATAGTTTTATCTCTATGTGGTTTTCTGTCTGTGAGACCAACACATTTGTGCATATTTTCATGGAAACTGTGTTGATCATTTCTTTGTTGTTTTTGGCTTTAGGTTACAAGCCATGTGTGGAAGCCCTGCCCACTTCATTTATGTGAGTTTAACTCGTACCTTTCCCCCTCAAACCATTTCTATGATCGACCTGATGACATCTGCTGTTTCCTGTGACATGAAGAACGAGAATGCTGCCGAATGAAGCCATGAGAGAAACAGAAGGAGACGTGCAGATCTGAAAGAAGTTGAGAAGAGGAAGAGACAAAGAGTATTGAAATTGATTAATCACAGTATAATAATGGCCTTTACTGAAAAGGGTCAAAAGAAGACCTACATTTCAACATTCAGGTTTGACCTGAAGTCTTCAGCAGCATTGCAGACTCCACTGGATGTGCCGAGGAGAACAGAGAATGGAGTCAAGCCGATGAACAGAGAGCAGAGCTGTCAGAAATCAGGCAAATCAGGTCAGAGATATTGCTACCGTGACGTGTTGCACTTTACTAATTCCCATAGATGAATCATCTTTAAACCGTTTTTAAACTTCATCATCATCATCATCTTTAAACTTTTTGAAAGTCTCTTATGCTCACCAAGGCTGCATTTGTTTGATCAAAAATACAGTAAAAACCATAATATTGTGAAATATTATTAAGATTTGAAATAACTGTTTTCTATTTGAATATGTTTAAAGGGTTCATATGATGCGATTTCAATTTTTCCTTTCTCTTTGGAGTGTTACAAGCTCTTGGTGCATAAAGAAGATCTGTAAAGTTGCAAAGACTAAAGTCTCAAATCCAAAGAGATATTCTTTATAAAAGTTAAGAGTCAGCCACGCCTACCTAAAACATTCTAACACGTCCCCACATGCCTACGTCACTATGTGGGAAGATTTGCATAATGCCGCCCAAATGTTCACGCAAAGAAAGAAGGCGTAACTTTTATTCTCGCTGTAGTATTGTTGCCGCCGCCATGTCGTGAAGGCGCTGTGTGTTTCGTTGTGAACGCGAAACTACTTTGTTTGGTCTTCCAAAAGAGGACGCGACTAGAAATCAGTGGTTAAGTTGTATTTACAACACTGTTCCAGAACAGTTCAACCCAAATATTCAGATGTGTGCAGCACATTTTATGGAGGACTGTTTCCTGATCCTGGTAGAGTAGACTACAATGCCGGCTGTTCTGACTCACGGACTGTAAGTACGTTTTTTATATTTAAAGGATTTGCCACTGATGATTAAAACGCGAGTTTTAAGCAGTGTAGAGTAGCACTTGTTGTTTGTCATTCCTCCGATCACAAATGCAGACATGGTTTTATGTTTACGTGGCGCGATGCAACACAATGCGTAAAAAGACAGTATAAGTCATTATAATCCATAATTATGTCCCCACTGGATGCAACGAATGCCTCGTTTATAATGGGTTTTCATGTTTTTGAATCATCGCTCCGGCCGGACAGGGCATCATCACAGTATGGTGAGGGGCGTAACATTTCCGTCACACGCTTGATTTCTGATTAGTATCAATGTTGACAACAGTTGTGCTGCTTATTGATGAGGATTCATTGATGAATAGAATTTTCAAAAGAACAACATTTATTCGAAATAGAAATCTCTTGTAACATTATAAATATTTGTACTGTCTCTTGATCAATTTAATGCATCCTTGCTGAATAAAAGTATTAATATCTTACGTGAACAGAAAGAAAAGATTAAATCAATACTATTGTAACATGTACCTGTAATGTGTTTTGATATTTGTACAGGTAGAATAACACATATTATTTGTCACTTTCAAACAGAAACTGATGATATAAAGAACAATTCTCCTAAAAAGCCCCTGAACATAGAGAAGAGGAGAACAGGTATATCTTACAAACTACAGATACCAATATATATATATATATTCATTATAAATAAATTAAAAAAATCTTAATCACTAGTATCACTACTGACTTTTGAGAAGAACAAAATATGTTAATGAACAATAGGGATGCATCAGTTATTTGTGTCTTATATTTATGTACTTCTGATGCCTTTAAAAATATATATCTATATCTATATATCACAATTAAATGTCAATGCAGGGTAGAATGTGGGTTTGGAAGCAGATTTCTATAAATTGCATTCAGACGTCTCATTATGCCTGTAGCCAATCACACAAGCCTTCTGTGTCTACTAGTCAATTATATGCCAGATTTCATTACCCCATTGCAAGTCACATGACTGATGAGTCCTGATGAGCCATATCTATATGTACATGTCTTGTTCAAGTTCATGAGTTTGATGTGTGTTTCACTGCAGACGCCACACTCAATAACACAGCCAGCTGTAGCTCAGGAGTGTGTGATTTCTGGTTAAAGGAGTTTTTCAGTTTTGCCTTCAGTTAGATGTTAATGTTACTAATCATTTAAGGTTAGGCCACAATCAGTGCGTTCTTACAAGAGAAATGAGGTACTTGTAAAGATGGAGTATCTACATTGTGGTTTAAAGAACTGAACTACTTCAGTATGTGTGTCAGTAGACTCTCCTTCTGTTCTCCAGGTGCACTAGCTGAGTTTTTGGACCCCCAGCAGCAGGTTGTGGTTGGTGTTGGAGGAACAGCTCGACTGCACTGCTGTTTCAGCAGCTCTGGGCCTGTGGCTTCCTGCTGGATTCATGACCGTGAAAAGGTCTGAGCTGTTTGTGAAGAGGAACATGTATTTAATTAATGTGATTCTCCACACCTGTGGTTCCTCTGGTTGGACACCTGTGTGAACTTAAGAACTGACTTCATGAATCCACTGCAACACACTTGTTTGTTTGAAAGGCATTGAGCAGAGATCAACAGAATTGGGGGGGAAAAAAAGCTTGTTTGATATATTCAGTGTTCATGTTTCTCATTAGGTTGTGTTAGAAGGGCCGCGAGTGTGTGTGACGAACACCAGCAGTAGCAGCACCCTGGTTCTCTCTGATGTTCTTCCTGTAGATGTGGGGAGTTATTCTCTTTTTGTTTGTAACCGAGGAGGCACAGCTCACTGGACCATAAGCCTCCGAGTCATTGGTGAGAACTTTCAAATCTAGCTTGCTTTAGTCCTTAACCTGTTCTTTAGTGTGTAGTCAGTATATGTCTGTGGTGATGGCATGACTGCCAGTAATCAGATTGCCTTTTTGATCTCATTTAGTATTTATATATCGTTTTAATATTTATTAATATTAATTATATTTTCAGTTTTTTATTTTAGTTTTAGAAATTGTCCTTGTCATTTTTTTTCTTTCTCTTTTATTTATTTTATTTCTATTTAGCTTTTATTTTTTTTAATTGGCATTTTTCCATTTTCAGTTTTTAATTCTAGGTCAAGATTTAGAAATTATGTACTTGTCATTTTTAATTTTAAAATGTATTTTTTTGAATAAGCTTTTTAAAATCTTGTTTGAGTTTTAGAAATGTGTGCATTACCTTTTTAAATGTTTCTGTTTAGCTTTATTTTTGGGTTTTTTGCATCTTATTTTAAAATCTTTATTTTAAGTTACAGACATTGTGCTCGTTATCATATTATATATTTTTTATATGTATATATCTCTGCATGGCTTTAATTTATAGTTTTATATTAACTGGAAATATAGAGTAATTTTTTTACATTTTAGAAATATGTACATTTTGTCTTTAATTTTTTTTACTTAATTTAATACTTACTTTTTATACTATACATGTATGTGTATAAAAATCAGTTTTTCATCTAATGTCATTTTTCCCCCCTATATTCTGAACTTTTTTTTTTTTAATTAAAAAAAATATAACTAAATTTTATATAACTAATTTTTTTTTTTTAGTTCCCAATAGCCTTGCTTCTCATTCACTGTTTCTCCCCAGGTCATCCAGACCCTCCAGCCTCGTGTCCGTTTGTGTCCCAGCTGACCCACACGTCTCTGGTTCTGTCCTGGTCTGGGCCCTGTTTTGACGGCGGTTCTGCCATCACAGGTTACGTGGTGGAGTTTCAGAGGCTGGATCAATCTGAACCCAGTGACTGGACTGAACTTGCTAACCAGTGTCTGAACACCTCGTACCGGGTCCGCTCTGGTCTCGACCCGCAGGGATGGTATCACTTCAGAGTACGAGCCTATAACGCAGTGGGAGTCAGTGATCCCAGTGAGGAGTCAGACTGCATTAAGATGAACACTGCAGGTAGACAGATGCCAACTGCTAAACCATTTAAATGCATGCAGAATCCATATGCATCTGTTATAAAATATAAATATTATTAATGTTTTTAATAGTGTAATATATGTATATATATGTATGTGTGTAAAAAAAAACAAACGTTTATATATTTTATTTAGGGAGTATTAAGTATATACAGTGCAGTAAGGATGCTTGTGCTTTTTGGAGTTAGTGATGCTCAAATAAGAGATTAAAGCAAGTTTAATGTGTTACAGGTGAACCACAACAGGAAGTGACCTCATATGTGGAGGTTGTGCCTGACACCACACACAAAGCCAGGGATCATTATCACGTTCATGAAAAACTAGGAGTGTGGGTATTAGTCTATTCATAAAATCAGGTCTAAAACTGATATTTATCTTAAACGGTTGTCTTCTACCTCCGCAGGGGGAAGTTTGGGGAGGTGTACAGGATGAGCCATAAGCAGACAGGTTGGGTGTGTGCTGGGAAATTCTACCGGGCCCGTGTCTCCAGAGAGAAAACAGCAGCGCGTCAAGAAATCAAACTGATGAAAGAATTACACCACCCCAAGCTGGTGCAGTGTCTCGCAGCCTACGACACCTCGTCCGAGATCGTCATGATTCTGGAGTAGTGAGTAGAAAATCCTAGACAAATATATATATATTTTTTTTTTTGAAGGGACACACGAGATGGCTTTTTCAAATATACACACTATATATCTAACCATTTTAAAGTGTTCTATGGAACTGTTATGCATGATCTTCTCTTATCCATTAACATTCAATTTAATGTTAAGGGAAATATCAGATTGTTTTTAAAATATTTAAAAATGCCAATTTCCAATGATGAGCAGTCAGATATGTTGCAAGTCGATCACTTTAAAATGTGTATGTGGCTCATCCAATTAGTCTGTTGATTTTTACAGATTTCAATCAAGTGTGCATTAAAAACGGACTAGATTTACAAGTCTTTTAGTTCACATTCCAATTCCAAATGTGAAAATGAAATATATGAAGTACCTTTTGGTTTTGGATTTTTAAATCGCAAGATTTTCCAAATATAAGCATGATTACATTTGTTGAATTTTTGCCAAAACAAGGAAATGTTACAATTAGTTTATAAACTCTAAAACACCGTACATGTATGGCTGATAACTACAAAGTTGGAATTGAGTGTCAAATAGTTGGAGCCAAATTGTTTGCGGGAATAAATTAAATTTTGCAATAAATTAAGTGCTGCATTACAAGCCAGTGGTCGCAAAACTAGCATATGTGAGCACTTACCGGCTGATCAGAATCAGAATCAGAATGAGTTTTTATTGCCAGGTATGTTTACACATACGAGGAATTTGTTTTCATGACGGAAGCTCCACAGTGTAACAGAATGACAGTGACAGAACAAAAAAAATTTCCAATGATGAGCAGTCAGATATGTTGTAAGTCGATCACTTTAAAATTTGTATGTGGCTCATCCAATTAGTCTGTTGATTTTTACAGATTTCAATCAAGTGTGCATTAAAAACGGACTAGATTTACAAGTCTTAGTTCACATTCCAATTCCAAATGTGAAGATCAAATATGAAGTACCTTTTGGTTTTGGATTTTTAAATCGCAAGATTTTCCAAATATAAGCATGATTACCATTTGTTGAATTTTTGCCAAAACATGGAAATACATTTTACAATTAGTTTATAAACTCTAAAACACCGTACATGTATGGCTGATAACTACAAAGTTGGAATTGAGTCAACTAGTTGGAGCCAAATTGTTTGCGGAAATTAAATTTTGCAATAAATTAAGTGCTGCATTGCAAGCCAATGGTCGCAAAACTAGCATATGTGAGCACTTACCGGCTGATATAACCATAGGGGAGGGACGTCGTAGCAGATCCCAAGGACCTCAACGTTTGTGGACTGAAGATCTGGACTAGGCTGAGGTGAATCGCTCTGAGTCTGCTATGACAATTCATGTTCGAGATCGTTGTATCAGATGCAGTGTAAACCAAATGCATATAAGAGATAGAGATTATATATAGAATTTATTTTATGGCAATAAGTAAGGATACTTTAGACTTTTTCCCCAGTCATCTCAATAGCAAAGTGCCCCAATTTACCCGAATTGACCCGGTGACATACCTCAGACTTCAGTGCAGATGTTGATTTCTGCCGTCTTCCTCTCTTTCTCGGAGATTCACTGGAATGGTCTTGTGAAAGATGTTCACCACACACCCTTAATAAACGAAAGTGAGAAAACATGAAAATATGAACTCTGAACTACACCTTCCCGACCCACACAATATATTTCTGTAAAAAAAAAAAAAATCCAATTTCTAAATGGTTACTTGTGTACGTTTTACAAAACGTTTTATTTCTACTTGTATATTAAAAAAAAAATTTTTTTAATGAATTTAGTTGCTTTTTTTTTGTTTGTTAATTGTGAAATGTCCTTGTCAGTTTCTTGGTGAAAACGGGAAAAAAAGATTTAAACAAAATTGCGATTTGCGAGTTGTTGTTTTTTTTTACGTTAGCTGGCGCCATACTGCTTGATGTGTAACCATGGTTACCAAAAGGTCATACGAAACTGATAACATTAGCTAGATAGCTACATAGTCCTCGGTATCCATCCCGCAACTAAAATATCTAACCTTTTTTTTTGTTTGTTTTGTTTAATACTCAAAAATCAAGAATAGTACACATAGAATAATACAACCATTAACATAAAAAAGAAAAACAATAATAACAAAGAACAGGGAAAAAAAAGAAAAAGGGGGTTGTTAATACTTTACAAACTGAAAGAATAAAATTGAGATTTACATGTCATTAAAGATAGGAAAAGAGTTACAGATAGATGAAGTTTATAAGGCTTTTTTAAAAATATCTAACCTGTCCAGCAAGAAAGAAGCCAGCTCCGGGTCACTGTTAAATCCCGCGAGATCTCGGAGCTGTCGCCACCGCTCGAACGCTCTGCCGATATTGATTCTAGTTTTGCCGTGAACTCTATTGCTTTCCCGCTTCGCTAGCAGGTTCTGTGCGGTCCGAGGCGAAGGTTTCAGTTTAGAGCGATCCATAATCCGTGATGACTAGCTGACGGTTTCAAAAACCGCTGATCTCCAAACAACACAACCATCCGCGCCAGACTTTGTGTTGCCGGACGTGACGTAAACGCGCGGTTTCCTACCAAATCCGAGCCGCCACACTTAAACCCCCATTCACTACAGCAAGCCTATAATGTTGTTTTAGTCAGTAAGTATATTTTAATGTGCTCACTTCTATCAAAACGCAAGCATTTAATCGAGGAGCTTTCAATAGTTGTTCTTGTTGCTTTACGGCGGATCGCAGACTTATAAGTGCATTACCGTCACCTATATCTCAAATGGACCATTGACACTCGATCTACAATCTCCTGATTAACCTACCAACCCACATACAAACACCCTTGATTCTTGTACCGCTGAGAGACCCTTTCAATAGTTCTCTCGCTCTTTGTGCTTTAAGCACGAATACCAGCACTGCCATCTGTCGACGTGGAGCAGCATGACAGTCTCTTAGTACACCATGGTCTGTTGGACAATTACTTCCATAATTATTATTTTTTTTGCAGAAATATAATCCAATACAGAACATATGGGGGAATATAGAGGAGAGAGAGGGAAAAAAATTAACAAATTACAATTTACTTAAACCGTTCTATAATGTGAGATGTCTTCAGTGTTTTTTTTTTTCATTTGAGTCATCACTTTTTGACATGGCGACAATGTAGAACAGAAGCAAATGTTTTGCGGCTGGTTTTAAATTGAAAGCATCTAGCCTTGTGTATATGGTATTTACCCATCATTCAAGTACAGTTTAAAACATCATCTAGCTCCTTATTGTCAG